TATTTGTAGGGTCATTGCCTCAATTTGGCACTATATCAATAAATTTGAACTGAATTGAATTGAGATGGATAGATACCAGACATGACCCTAGCATAGACAGTTCCTCTTATCAACATCATACAGGAATAGAGATCTCAGCAGCTGACCTCATCATGTCAAACCTATTGCATTGTTCGATAATAGAAACTAGAACTACCTAGAAACAAAATTATTGAGTTTTATGTTCCCATACTAAATTCATAGTGAGCTACCCACCAGTTCCTGCAGCTAGCTGGTTATCCTGGTGTGCCACCGTCCCTTGGTGCTGTGGAGGACACATGGCCCAGTGCAGCTGGCGTCTGAATTCCTGACGGTCGTCTATGTGGATGTAGTCAAACACATTCTGGTGCATCACGTCAGTCTGTGGAGAGGAGATTCGGATTAGTTTGGTTAGTCAGTTTTAATTTTTAGTTTTACATCCGATTTATGACTTTGGACGGCCGAGTTTTGCTTCCATTCTTGTAGCTGACAGCTGTTCGCCGCTCTCAGGGCTAATTCTGCCCCACCATTCCTGGGGAGGTCAACGCTATACATACAAAGTCGATGAAAGTCAGACAACCAGAGCACTCGCACAGTTACATACACATGCACAAAGGCAGGAGAATTGCCCCAGTACAGTAACAGTCTTAAGGGCAGCTGCGGGGCCAGTGAGGGCAGCTGTGTTTGTCAAACATCGCGTGACACCAGCTCCCGAACGGCAGTCCAGCCCAGCTTTCTCTCCACATCCACACAAACACACAGTAAGTAGGGTTCCAGCCCGCTCTCGTCATTCCTCCCTCTCTTTTCCAGCAATAGCTGTGTTTTCTGTCATTCCATGACAGATTCCTCACTAAAATGTTCAACCTTCTCCTCTTCCCTCTCTCCCTCCTCCCTGCCCTCGCTCCATAATTTCCACACTGGTGGCACGCGAGGCTTTTTGATCGCCTGCCTCTGCAAACACAATCTGTTCCCACTGTCTTCGGCGAGCGCTTCGTCCTGTGGTTGGGTTCCCTACCGGCAGTCAGGCAGACAGAAGGATCGAGTGACTATTGTTTATGTTTCTTGTAAAAAAACTCAGAGAGGAAAAGAAGAGGGGGAGGAAAAAGAGAATAAGTGATATTTTCAGTGACCTTCAAAGGCTAGCTGCCCCTGTAACAAATTGGATCAAAGGCCAGTGGAGGTTTTCTGCTCTTCTGTGGCGCTTTCTTGTGGTGCTACTTAGCAAAGCCATGTCTTTTCTTCTTTATTTCCTGTGGTATATTATGGATAAGTGTCTTTCTGAATACAGCTGTGGGCTCAAAATTATGTTACATGCTGTCAAAGCCTGAGAGGCAAAGCATGTGGCTTAAAAACAACAGCTCCTTTGCGAGAGCTGAACATGTGGGAAAGTATAAAAGAATGTTTTCATGACAGTCTGAAAATACAACACGCGGATCTGTGAGTATTTAAAAAGCCATATTTTTAATGTAGAAAAATGTAGAAAAGCTGTCAACTACCCGTTCACTCCTATTCATCTTCTCTATGCTCAAAGTCACCTGCATTTTGTTTTTCACTTCTAAATATGGCCATCACTGACTACAAAGAACACCTGATTTGAATTCTGAGCTCAACCTTGAGCTAATGCTGATGATACATTAGTTTATCACACCAAATGCTTTGCATGCTGCAGTGCTATGGCTCACAGCCAAACCTTTTGCGTGGTAATTCCTTTTCTTTTTCTTTCTTTAAAATAACTGTTTTGCATGTATGCAATTTAACGTACTGCGGTGGCTTGATTCGCTTGATCCGCTGCCAAGTGTCTTACATACAGTCACTGCCGAGATCTGAGCACACAAAGGGCCAGTTGTGATTCTACTAGTGTGAGCTGGTAAATTTACATCTCTTTAATATTTAATCAGCAGCTAACACGTCGCAAAACGGTCCCGGTCCTTCCTAACATGGATACGATTTTTGCTAATTCTTCGAGCATGAATGAAAAGACAGCTGTTCATTTTTTTGTTTTTAACTGTGCTGGTCACATGTGTTTATGAAAGGCAACAACTGGATGGCAGCAACTCGACTCAACGTTGGGATGGTTTGCTGTGAAATTCAGCCAAGGCCATATTCAGGTTCTGTGCAATCATCAGCTCAAAACTGATTTTTTTCCCCATTACTTTGGTTTGATTCCTGCAAAATTATTGACATTAACTTTTCGCTCGGGTCTTTTGCTGAGCACGTGACAATGAAGCTGGCATAAAGTGAAACCTTAGCTAGCACAATCTGATCATTTGAGTGGAAATTTATGGGAACAAAAAGCAGACGTTACAAATTAAAAAGCGTTGACTGAGCTGCTAAGACACACGTGCATACGCAAATGCACCTTGGAGTTTTAATTTCCTTTGCCTGGTGGTTCCGTGCCATCTGTAGACACACACACACACCTATGCACATACTGTGGCAGGGCGTCTCAGACCACTTTGGTTTTCATGTCAATTTCATGGCTGCCCCTGTCTGCTTGTGAGCCAAGTGGGAGCGCTGCAGAAGAATGTCTATCGTGATGTGTGTGTGTGTGTGTGTGAGAAAGAGAAGGCATGAGGGCAACAGGAGGAATTTTAACAGTGAAAAGCACTTTATTTATGGCTTTGAAGGAGAGCGATGATTTCAGCATCGAGGGACAGGCGAGCCCATGTTGACTTCATTCATAATTAATGACTGGCCGGGTATAGCCACTGGAAAGGAAAAGAGTTAAACCGTCGGTGACTTATCAGTGCCCGCACACACATAACAGACGCCCGCAGAGTGTATCTCAGGGTGAAACAGAGGTCTTCACCCTTCTGTGGTCCCCTTAGGTGTAACCTTGTGGGTTTACTTTGCCCTCTGAAAGACTTATCAGGCAGCAGGAAGTCAGAATTAAAAGAAAGGCAGTTTACTCCGGATCCTAAACTGGATGGGATTGATGGCAACAGAAGAATGGAGTGTACTAAAAACGGCAATTGTGACCTTGTTGAATAATGACAGCCATGAGGTCCTATGAGATTTGCAGATTCGTAACCTTAAGAGGGTTTGTGTGTGCTAAAACACATTTATGGATGCTATCATCACTGATTACGAGGCCATGTGACCAGCTAAAGTACAAAAAAAAAAGCAACCCATACCTCATTTTTATATTTTATATATTCTGGCTCAAAGAGCACATTTCCTACTGATCTGTTGGAGTTTTGGCACACCGACTCCCCCATCTACAGAACAGTCAAGGCTTATCAGCTTATCTATGGATAATCATATGCACAGCGTGCATTTCGTTTATACATATTAAACATAGATTATACAACGTTTTCACTGTATTCGTGTGAAAACACAAGGGAGAAGTTCAACTCACCTGATGAAATCCCAGATAGTCCACAATGGTCGAGGAAGCGTAAAAAACCATCCCGTCACTGCTCACCACCAAGGCAAAGCCTGTCAGAGACTACACACACACACACACACACACAAACAAACACAGAGAAAGAGAGTCAGGGCAGCTCGTGCAGCAAATAAACTCAAATGCAACAAACACACACATGACTTCTCTATTCTGGTCTGTGAAAAGCGTAATACAGGTGTAAGAATATAGTCAGATGTTCTAATTTGTGATCTAACCGTGGTTGAAGTTATTACTACGCCCTTAAAAAAGAATTTGGTGCTTGTAAAACCTTTAAAAATGTAATATTCAACTTCTTTCCATAATTCTCAGAACAGCAGAAAAACTGTAAAAATGGAACAAAAGATAGAAAATTACAACACAAGTGAGGGAATGAAAGACAGATGGTTGTGTTACAGAGCGAGCCAAATAAAACTTAGTGATTTATAATGCAAAATATTGCTTGTGAAAGACTTTTTTCCCTCATATTCTCTGGTTAAAACTGTATTTTTTAAAGCAGTTAGCTCGCAGATGACTTACGCGCCTATTTGCGCTCCTTTAAAGTTATGCTTTTCATAAGCTCGAAACTCTGATAATTAAGTCTGTTTGACTGGTACAGCTGCTTTGATTTGTCGTAGCAAACACACTGATTAAAAGCAGAGAAACTCCAGACACAAGCACACTTCTTCCCACTTTCCCTTTTTGCTCACACACCCATCCACACAAACCTAGGGAGGGGGGGGGATAACGTGTTTGGCCAGCGGAGGATACAGAGAAAGAAAATGTTAAATAAATACACAAATGGTATCTGTTAAATGAGGAGAGATGGACAGATTGAAAGGAAAAGAAAGAGTGCGAGAGATATATTTAAAAAAGGCAGCACATGAAGGAGAAAAGCACAGGAAGGAGACGGGAAAGAGGCCTTCCAGTGTGCAGTGTGCGCACAGCTGTGATAGCGTGACAACTGCAAGGCTACTTGACTTGCGTGACTGCTGCTGCCAGAGTCTGTCACCTCTATTTTACTGCGAGACTATGCAGGTCTTTCCTGGTGTGTTTCTGTGTGTTTCTGTGCGTTTCTGCGTGTTTCTGTGTGTTTCTGTGCGTTTCTGCGTGTTTCTGTGTGTTTCTGTGTGTTTCTGTGTACTTTATAAGGTAGAAAGCCCAGCTGCCCCTCACTTCACCCCAGTGCCCGCTCCTTCCACGTCTCTGTCACTTACACCCAGCAGTGATCTGATTGCCTCAGTGAGAGGCGAATGCTCACTGTACGCGCCCTGTCCTTACCTGTCCCATAAACCCCTCTCTGTGACCTCTCTGTGAGCAGAGCAATTTGTAGCCCTAAAACCTATCAGCGTAGAAGTCAAACTGCAGCAAAGCGTAGCCTCTGAGACAGAAATATTGAGACACTGACATGATGACATCTGAAAACAGTATATGAAAGCATGACGGCAGCAGTGGAGACTGGAAGATGGGTCAAGTCCTCTGTGGCATCGATGCAGATGATGTTTGACAAGTTAAACTGGCACATGTTCAAACGTCAGGGGGGGTACACATAAACACACATAGATGCACAACTTATTCCAGCATTCAAAACAGATGCAGATTAGTTGGAAATAAAGCACACTGATATAGCATCTTTCCTCTGATACAGGTCCTCACTCAGCATTTAATGTGCAACATTTGTACAAATTAAAGGTCTTTGTTACTCAGACCAGCATTTTTGGAGCCCTCTGGAGGGTAGCGATCAATCATCATTAGTGGATTAATATTTAATGTAGCTATGTAATGTATTTAGTACTTCAATAAACATCTGGGAACATGTCAGTGCCAGATGTGATATATTTATGTCTAAATCCAACACCGCCAACGCAGTGTCGTGGCAGTTCATCAGATTGTACTGTAAAACTTTTTTTCTGTCATTTAATGGTCGGGCATTGCGCAGCTACAAGCATTTCACCCCCATGTCATACTGTGTATGGTTGTGTGTGTGTGACAAATAAAATTTGAATTTGAATTTGAATTTGATAGTCACAACATCTAATGTACTTATTCGGGTTTCTGGACATAATTACCCACCCTTATCTTTGTATCCCTGAAGACAATTTTTTCATCTGTCTGGCCTCAGATGTCCTGATTCATGCCCGTGTACACAAAGTGAATATTTTCTGCTATTTGAAAGGGTGTCACAGACGGGGTTGGCCTTGGAGTGATCATTTGACCTCAGTTTGAGTCATGGAGTGACATTATTTATATTATAGAAAATGCTTAGCAGCACGTTAATATGAAACAATATTTTATTGATTATTATTAAAAACGACTTGTTGAGGGTGAGGATATAAAAACGAGTTGGTTACGTTTAGGCTGTAAAGCTGCGGTTAGGTTTAAAAAAAGATCCTGTTGTGGATTAAAATACAACAGCTGAAAGCTCTCATTTCTTAGCAATAATAGTTTCAATGTCACGCTGACTGTCACAGAATGCCAATGCATGACCATGAACTTGAACAAACAGATTGCTTTTTCAGACTATTTCACATGTAGCTATAAAGGTCTCAAGCATGGGCCACTTGAAGGTCTTTGGATCATGTGTCCAAAAACTCATGAAAACATCCTAAGCATGCTGGAAAGCTAGGTTGACTTTATGAGGTCGTACAAGGCCATAAAAAGGTCGACATTTACATGTAAGGTTCATTTAGATTTATTTAGCCCATTCACCTTTCCCCACTCCTCTTCCAAGTCAGTGAAATGCCAGTAAATTTCTGCAACCCAAATTCTTTACAAAAGGACTTTGACATTTTTATTCTTCTGGAACAAATAGGCCCGAGACCTGTGACCTGAAAGAGTATGCACAAGCAAAAAGTGTATGTTCTATAGCTTTAATTGGCTTTTTTTATGCCTGTCCCTGCAAATTTATTACAGATATATACAATGCATTTGTTTTTTTACATGTGCAAAACTTCAAGAGAACATCCGTCATTTATGCTGGAATAGAGCAGCTTATTTACTACATTTCCAGTTAAAGAGCTGGAAGGAACATCAGAACTCTATTACTCAAAATAACAATTAGTGTTTG